ATAATTATTAACAATTAGATTCTTCGCATAATTAAATTACTTTTCAAAAATAAATCTTTTTTTCATATTAACAATAAGTAAACGATTAGGATTTCTGTTAACAGTAATAAAAATAAAACATCAGTTTCAACTATCTTCGAATATCACATTAAAATATACACTTTTGCATGTGTAAACAATAGACTTCAATCAAGTTTCAAGCAGGAATTAGTTACGTTTAAACCAAACAAACATTATAAATGTGTAGTATAGTTACACTTAAAGGTATACCACTTTTATAGTAGCTATTGCCTGTTGAAATTTGTTAGTAAATAAAATTAAACTCTAAAATCTACATAACGTTTGTAGTATAAATTCTTCAATTATCTTTGCGCATCTTCTTGTACATTTGTAGTTTCCTGTACGACGAAACGAGAACAGCCTGAAAACCATAATTGTCGTTTTTTTCATGTATTTATGAAGACTTCTATTAGATAATTATCTACAAATTATATATAATATTCTAAATACATAAACTATTAAAAAGTATGTCTATTAGTATTTGCTGGTTAATAATTTAAAAATATATATTGATACTAAGAAGATATTACTTTTCTTTTAAATAAGAGACTGATAAATGTTATAGTTATTTTTATCAAACTTTTAGCATTATAACCTTGCTTTTAAATTATTAGAGTGAAAATAATCGCAATGCTTTGTCATATCTGCAAATGAATAAAAAAGAAAAATTAAAACGTTTTGTTTCTGTAAAGTTCTATTTATTTTAGATTTCTTGTGTTAAGTAATTAGTGTCTGCCATGAATTTTTATTCATATTTTCCAATGTATACATATTATACAATGTTTTCACTAATATACATTCATTGTAAATGTACAAAACTGTTATTAAATGTTGAAAATTACTCTGGAGTAACTTACAGTGTAATAAGTGCACAAGTATTACTCATAATAATAATAGACATCTGTGTACACTCAAATTACATAATATAATGCACATATGATTCTTAAAATCACAGTTCTAGGGACTGTAATGCAGCTTTTTTATAGGCACATTGCAAGGTAAAACGGTTTTTAAATAGTATCATAGGGACATTAAAGTTTAGACTTTCCATGTTTTCAAATTACAGGTAAGGAGGGGAAACAACTAAAATAAAGTCTATCCATAAAAGCTGCATAATCAATTCTAGATATCATTCAATAATTACACAAAAAATCATGAATACAAGTGGCAATATACTTCCATAAGTTTCTGTTTTAACACCTTTACAATTTGCAAGTTAGTATTTATTTTAGTAACATAATAATTATGAAAAGTATCTTTTAGTTTATCACAAATTGTTTTTACTTTTCATTTATAACTATTCATAAAAAATGAGATGATAATTGTAGCATCTATAAATGTCAATGTCACAAATTATTTTAATATATGCGCTTAAAAATTTATGTTTAATTCTATGCTGGATATTATGCTAACATTTGTACTTATTCATACACTATTTGTATGTATTAAAACAAATATAATTCGAAACATCAATACATTCGGGATTTTCTGAATGAGAATGAGAAAATATCGAAATGGAACGACTATCAATGTTAAACTCATTGTTAATCTAAAATCTGATGTTTAGTTAAGTATTATAGATTCTTATATTGTTTATTATATTGTAGTGATTTCTGTTCACAATAAGGTAGATATCTGTTTCAGCATACAATAGTATTTATATACAAACAGAAAAACAAGATGATATTTAAATATTGATAAACTGATGTTTTAACATTGTATTCTGTTTCTAACATTAGAAAACTACCCCTTAATAACTGCATTGAAACAATAGATAATTCAAATATAACTCTCTCATGAGTGTGAAAAACAAAATAATCAGTTTTCAGTGAGCTATAATTTTGATAGATAATTATGATATCAAAATATATCTATTGTTACACCTTGCAGATCGTGCTTCAAATTCATAGTTTCTAGTATACAAAGCAAAAAATAGAAAAAAGTTTTAACTGATGTATTATGCAGAGAAGATTAATCAATCAACATATGAATGATTTATCTTGGTTAAATAATAATAAATCATATTATTTCTGATCATAGAGAAAATCAATCTACAGAAGGTGTACATGGTCTTCTGAAAACAAATATTAAGTATATTGTTCTTAAAACATTTGAATATATACATAAAAGTAAAGTACATACATATTTACATACACACACTCAAGAATAAGTTAGAAAAGGAAAATGTAACTCTTTTGTTTTGTAAAGTTCTACAAAAATATTCATTCAAGAAATTAAAGTATTTTGCTCTTTAATTATTTAAAAATGGTTAACATTAATAAAAAAGTTACAAATTAAAAGCAATTATTAAGTACCACAATATTTGAAATATACACTTATGTATCAGATTTTAAGTATTATAAAAATGAGTTTGTAAAATATATAAAGATGAATACTTTGATGAAACTTCAAGTAATGACATAATAATACAGTACTGCCAGAGCTACATAGTTTTCTATATTTCTACAAGAATGATTTTCATTCAATATTTGTACTATATATACTTTATACTACTTCTATTAGTCTTCCTTAGATGCATTAATAGAGTTTTATTAATTTTTTTCATTATAAAATTACAAACTGCATATTAAATTAAAAAGTAATATGCAAATTTAAAAAGTATGTAATTTAACCCTTTAACTACGGCAGAGCAGGCCGTGCAACTGTATCGCTTATACGGACTACTCTGACGCGGAGAATATGTAAGTGAAATTAGTACCGCGATCGGTGTTTCGATGCCTTCAACTACGCATTTATGTATTTTTGTGATATCTCTCAGAGATATCACTTAATACTACTACTAAAGCGTGTTGCGAGAAAACAAATGAAGACATTTCTACATCACCTACGCAACGTAACACAGCTTTTGAAGCAAGAAAACAAGTAAGCCACTATAATAGCGCTTCGTCCCAAAAAAGTGGGGCATAGTAGCTGAAGAGTTAAACATAACAAGTATTTTATTCATAATAAATAAATGAATAAAATATTATGCAAAATTA